GCTGCGCCATGGGAGAAGTGGGGAGTGGAGGTACTCCATCCTCCCTCACACCCCACAAACACCATACCCCACATATACATCCCCCCAATATACCCTATTGCTTCTCCACATATGCAGCCACCCCCCTCCACACGATATACAAGACTAATTTTTTTTTAGTTATTTTCAATCACCTCTATATATACTATGCAAACAAATCATGACAAAAATATTTTTTTGTAATAAAATTAAAATATGTTATAGTAGTAGTTTGACTTCTAGTGTATGATTTGTTGTTTTTTTTCTGGTTCTAAGATGGCAAACCTCCCCTCCAAAAAGGAGTATTTCTGCAGGGGGGCAAGGAGAGGGACTTCTGGTGGTAACAGTTAGGAGTTAGGGGAGGGACTTCTGGTCCCAAGATGGCAACCAGGGGTCAGGGCAACTGTCAAGGGGCAGGGCTATCCATTTGGCTCTCAGAAACTCGCCAAACCTCATTAAGCAGCTCTCCGCTCAAAATAATTGCCCACCCCTGGTTTAAACTGACATAAGCTGTGAAAAGTGAAGTTAATAACTTTACCATATTCAGACACTATCTGTAGATAAGAAGAAATGGATTATTATGAGTTATTATAATATAGTACAGATACAGGCAATGTCTTGAGGCATTTTATCTTTATATTTACATGTTCTGTTTGCTGTAAATAAAACATCTCGTTATACTACAGTATGCACATGGAAGAGTAGATAATGCTTGAGATGAAATATCAATTTAAAAAAACCAAATTGGTATACGTGATTAAAATGATACAGAAGCTTGTTCCTTGAGTATAATACATGAGTAACATCTGCACAAATGTGGGGCAGTGTAGGGCCAGAAGGCAGCTTGCCTGCAGTCTTCCAGCAACTGCAGCAGAGGTGGGGAGGGGTGTGCGCACAGTGGTGAGGAAGAGAGTGGGGCTGTGTCTGGGGCAGGTCCTGCACAGCCACGGTGCGGTGCTGCTGTTCAGGAGCTTGTCTGGGGACATGGCTCCTGCTGCTACATGCAGCCCAGGAGGACACAGGTGGCATGTGCCCTGGATCTGCTTATGGGGAGGTAGGTAGGTTAGGGAGAGGGCTGTAGCCACCCCAAAATTCACTGTAGCCCCTGCTCCCAGTGCCGCTGCCCACCCGAAGTGCAGCATGGCCCAACCCCACAGCTGCGAAGAGCCCAGTGCAGCCTGCCCTTGCCCTGCATGCAGATCTAGGGCGCATATCCCCCATGCCTCCTGGGGTGCGTGCAACAGTGGGAGCTGCCCCTCACTCCCCACACTGGGCTCTCCCCGGACAAACCACTTGTGACTCCATCCCATGCCCCGCCCTGGTTGTGTAGGGCCTACCTCAACTCCTCTCTCTCCCTCATTGCTGGGGCCTCGATCTGCCTTCCCCCTCCCCCCCCCCAGCTGTTCCCCCTCTCCTCACCTCTTCCCCCATAGACTTACCTGCTTGGGAGGCACATGCTCACTCCCCCCAAATAATTTTTTCCCTCCACCTATTATCTGCGTCCACATAGATTTAAATAGTACAGTGTTAGAACCCAGTTCCCATGCCCTTTTTAAGAAAAGATTACTTACTCTGTGGGTAAATGGGATAAAAAATGGACAACAGGTTTCTCTTCTAATATGAGATTGCGCAAAAGGTTTGAGTACAGTCTTTTACTTATGACATTAACAGACATGCTAATGTACTAATTTTACTAAAAAAGATGGCTGCTACATATTCTTTTTGGAGAAGTATGCCAGGTTTGGGGAGGCAGACTGATTCTAGATGCCTGATTTTATGTAAGTGGATTTTTAAATTGTGTCCTTTTTTCCTAGTGGAGTTGTCAATGCCGTTGAGACCATGAGTGAAATCTGAAGACTTGCTTATATAAGACAAATTTACAATGTAATCTTTACATTAATAGTCCAGTTCAGATTAGCCCTTTATATATTAAAAAGTCATTTGTTCTCCCTTCCTTTAGAAAACTAGCTTACTTAAGTAAATGATACCATCTGTCCCTTGATTGCATACCTGGCAGGCTTCCCTGTATTTTTTTTTTATTTACTTACTAAAATTTACAGATACATATTCATGAGGCTGAATTTTATTCTAGTATGTTTTCTTAAACATAAATTATGCACTTCATTTCAACAATAACAAACCTGTTATTTTAACATCTAACGGTGAGACTGCATCCTCACAAGAAACAAACATTTTATGGCTCTTAATCCATGAAATGCTAATATTGGCTTTTATTAATAAGATTAGAATGGAATGCTATGGGGAAATTTTATATTCATCATTTGGAATGACTATGCGACAGACAGAGGGAAAGAAAGAGATGTAATCTATGGTGTGCCATCTATTTAAAAATATGGGTGAGGTAGCAAATTTAATGACGGTTGTCAATGTATTTTGCAAAGCACCTTTATATGGATGTTAAAAGCAAGGAGGCTCTTCACCATTTTTGCATACAGAATGCTCTGTAATTACTTGATTCACATATATACTTGAGGTTTTAACTTTATTTTGGTGTCTGTGTATAAGTCAGGGGGATAGTGGAAAAGAAGTTTGACTGGCATAAATATGTATGCACTAAATATTGCATTTCTCTGTTTGAGTACTTGATTCTATGTTGCACTAGAAACCATTCACCTTAACTGATTTTTCCCTTTTAATGTTATAGGTACTTTGAAGCCATACAGTTGAGCTTTCGGCAGCGTCTCCATGTTGAACAGATTTTTGACTTGGAGAATGGCGAGTATCTCTGCCCACTCTGCAAGTCTCTCTGCAACACTGTGATTCCCATTGTTCCTTTGCAGACTCAGAAAATAAACAGGTGAACTACAGGGGCTGCCTATTTCTAAATTTTAAGAATAAAATCTATTTAGAGTTTCTAGAAGAGTTAGTTTTCTTTCTGCATGTGCAGCAAGTTGGGATAATCTTCTCAGCTACTTGGAGACGGCTTAAAACCTTACTGATGACCTGTTCAACTGTGTCTGACCTTGTATTCAAAATCTGTTACTGGAACCAATTTCTAATTTTGTAATTGGCCTGATTTTGCAGGGTGCATCCAGTGAGAAAGTGTTTCCTTTTTTAATTAACTAAAATTTAAAGTTTTTATTAAGTTTCAAAAGTGAATAAGCAAACCGCATAACTATGCAAATGCTAAGGGCCATATGCTTTTCAGTTTCAGGAGATCAAGTTCAATGCTTCCTTATCTCTTCAAGTAACCATCACTTTTTATTTCTATTCTCAGTGAGGATGCAGAGGCAATAGCTCAAATTCTGTCCCTAGCTAGGTGGTTGGAGATTGTCATGGCCAGGATATCAGGCTACACTGCAAACATCACTAAAGGTTTGTTACAGATTTCAAGCTTTACACTAGGATAACTCTCAAACATGCCCTCTTAGCTTTTAACTTCTCCTAGCAAGAAAACACACTGACTTTCAAATAAACATACCCATAATAATATGCATATATGCAGATTAGCATAGGTACCGCTAGACTTAGTTCATCCAGAATTGATGCATTTTAACTATCTATCACAGATACTTCATAAGCATGCTTTTGAGCCCCACTTTTTGTAACTATGTATACATAGTACAAACTACATGATACCAGTCCAGAGCCACAAGACTCATGACATATTATATAGTTCATTGGGCGGAGCCCCAGGAGAGTAGACAGCATTTCAAGCCATGGAGACCCCACAGCTCAGCACTGCCTAGTATGTGTATACTCTAGATACCCATCTCTCCCAAAGGAGCTGTGCACTAATTAGCTCCCCACTCATGACTGGCAATGGGAGTTCTTGTTGCAAGCCCCGATTCCCTCCAAAAATTTCTGTGCAGATGAGGTGTAGGGCTGCCTGGTCTGTCTCTACTTCATGAAGGGCAGGGCCACATTAGTCACATGCAGCAGGCTGAGACAAGGGATGGCAGAACCTCTCAACTACACAGAATTTTGGTGATGTCTTCCAGATAGTTAAGGTTGGTGAAGAAAGAGGAATAATTGGAAATGGGAAATGTTAGGCACTTCTCAGTTGTGGGATTGAAGAGAAGGTCAAAATGTATTTGATGTAGTGGCTCACCATGACTCAAAGAGTTGGCAGTGAGAGGAACTGAGCACAATAGGCACTTAATCTTATGCAGCTGGATTGTGTTTAACCTTGTGGTTTTTTTAATAAGATCAAGCATTTTTGGCACCAAGGGGAAGAAGGTGTCAGGACTGGCTCTGGCCCTCCTGAGGCTGGCCTGATATTATAGTACCTCCAGGCCTGGTGTCAGTTCCCTGTGGAGGGGGAACACCCACCCATTTTTTAAGGGCTAACCCCCCCCGCCACACACACACACACACACGCTTCCCTTTATGGGTCATGTGTTTTATAGGTATGCACTGCATTCTGTTAACTTCATTGTCAGTTATGATGACTGAGCACATGGTGCTTCTAGCAACAGTTTAATGATGGCCAATGTATTTAATATGGGGGGGGGTTGTTCGTATGTGAATGCAAGATTGAGGGGCTTTTTCCCCCATGCTGATTGGAGGAAAATATGATCTTATATTCAAGTAAATGCAGTATTTTAATTTTTTTACTTAACTTGTGCTTATTTGTTTGAGCTGGGACGCTGTGCACTGATTATTGACTCTGGCACCTGTGCATCTCAAAAATGTTGTGTCGTGCAACTCATGGCCATTTCAAGATTTTAGTTTGCAGCTAAAAATGATAGGAAGTTTGACCACTCCTGAATTAGACCAGCACATTGGAGCTAGAGATCAGCAGAGCCCAAAGAGAAAGAATGCACATATTAAGAATGCAGAAACTAAAATCCTGACCCTAATGTCCATAAGCCTGAGTACTGGAGAGAAATCAGAATGCTGCATTGTTCTAGACAAGTAGTCTCCAGCCTTTTTATGGTGAAGATCACTTTTTCAAGTAAAGGGCAATCTCGGATCTACCGTGCCCCCCCACCCAGTAGGTCAGTCAGGAGTGTGGAAGGGGGCCAGATCAAGGGACCCACAGTGAGGGAGTGAGGCAGGGGGGCGAGTGGGGCCCCAGCTGGGCTGGGAGAGGGTCAGAGCCTAGGCAGCTCATCCAGACGTGGGGGGGGGGGGGGCCCCCTGCCACTGCACACTCCCTGGCGGAGGCCTGAGGGGCACATGCCCCCCCCCAATCTGTCTGCAGGTGAAGCAGCTTCCACTCTGCACTGGGCTTTGCACCCTGGGCTTTGTTCCCTGAGCTGCAGTGGGCCTCCAGCAGGGGGTGTGCAGTGGTCGGAGCCCCACTACAAGCCTGGACGAGCTGCTTGGGCTGCAACCCTTCCCTGGCCTTGCCCACCCAGGGCCCTCTTCACCCGGTTGCAGGGGGCATGCAGAGGTATCGTCCCACTCACTCAGCCTGGCCCCAGTGGCAGCCCAGTAGTGTGCGTCCTGCTGCTCCTAAATCCCACCGCTCCTGGACTGCGTCCTGGCTGCTCCCAATCATGGAGCCTCTGAATCCCAATCCGGCTGCTCCCAGTTGCAGCTAGCCGCCGCCACCCCCCCCCGGACTGAGAGAGACTGTCAGGGGCTCCCCAGTTGACCAGACGATCAGGATCGACCGGCGGAGGACCACTGTTCTAGACCTCCTTGATTTTTGTGAACAGGCATAGTAACCCTAGGATCTTCTTCATGTAATACATAATGGATACCACTGGCCTTTTGGTGCTGTTTGATTTGGAAGTAAAGCCAGAGTTCTCCTTTTATCTATGATCTGATTTCCAAGCATCTGCTAACTTCTTTCCTTGTTTCACTTGGAAGATCAAATAACATGAACTTGAAAAAAAGACGCAACCCAGATTTGCCTGTTGAGTCCATAATAATTGGTCATAAAAAGTAAAATTGTAAGTTAAGTCCAAACTATACGAATATTACAGAAAGTATTGATGTGGTTAGATATATAGTCTTATAACATTCCCTGAATTCTTCTATAGCAAGAAAATTCCCTTTTCTATTTCTGTCATGGACACCTAGGGTAGCTAGGATCTGGAACCAACTTCCTAGGGAAGCGGTCCTCGCTCCTACCTTGGGTAAATTCAAAAAGAGGTTGGATGAATACCTGTCTGGGGTTGCGTGATCCCAGCGTGTGCTCCAACCAGTAGTGGGGGGGTTTGATTAGATGATCTATTCAGGTCCCTTCTGACCCCTAACTACTATGAAACCTTATCAACCAAGCATTGGTTTTAATTCTCACATTTATTGATATAGAAGAGAAGGGTCTTTAGGGAGGAGGTTTAAAACAGATTTACTGCTAAGGTGTACTTAGGATTATTTCAAAAACAATTTAAAATAAAAGGAAGTCTGTGTATGCTAGCTCGATTGTATTAATGTGATTTTTTTTTCCAGAAGAAGAGCCTAAAAATGCTCCGGCTGTAGTCAGTAGAGAAAAGGGGGACTCTGCTCTGGATTTCCATTCTATCCTTAGTTTTGGAATTCAGCCTTTGTAAGTGTTGCCAATAGTTTATGTTTGGCTGGAGGAATCTGAGTTCCACGTTTTGCATTGTGTTCACTCTCCAAAATGATCCAAGTCTGTTTCAAAATTCTGGAACCTGTTTTGTTTCTTTTTATCAAAAGAAAGGAGTTTGTCATCTGAGCCCAAAACTGAAAGCCAGGAAACTTCCTGACTTATAAACCCAGCTTTTCCAGTGTCTCCACATGAATTTTAATATTGAATGATGGATCTGTGCCTTGGCTTTGTCAGACATGCTTCTATACGTGTCTTGTCTTTGTAATAATAATTTGAAATTACTTTGTAGATCAAGTTATTTATTAGTTATTTACTTAGAGGAGTAGAGTTGAACTGTCTAGTATATTGTGTGATACTAGTTTTTAAAAAAGGGCCCTTCCCCTTCGGATAGAGGTGATCCCTAGACATTTCCCTCTACTGTGTGCCTTAACCTTCTCCTTCCCCTTAGGATACTATTACAGCCACCTTGTCCACTTTACTCTTTCTCCTCACAGCACATTTAATTAAAGAATCAGTTCTTTATTCTTTGTCTGACTTCTGCTATCCATGGTTATACCTTGAAACATTACTCTAGAAGTTGCATTAATATTTAGTTCCTTTCTCTCATTCTATGTCACAGTTACTCAGTAAAAACAAGGACTTTTTTTTCCAAAATGTTGCTACTCCTGCAAACATACTCTGGTTTAAATGTTGAACTGTGTTCTTGCTTGTGCTCTAGGTAGCAAGATTCTGCAGCTTGAACTTAGTTAAACATTTTTAACATACTGCATGAGCCGGAATAAAATCCAAATAATTGTTCCATAATTGTGTCATCTGTGCAGGGCTTGCAGGATAAAAAGTACTGAAAGTATATTTCATTTCAGCATATATGTCTTTGAAGGTACAGAAGAAATAATCTGTTAACTGAGAGCATGCTGTTTTTGCATAATTGGTTTTCTGATCAGAATTGCATTTTATAGGAACAGAGTAGATGATGAATTTTAAGGAGCTCCATTCTTGGAGAGAAAATTAAAATGTTAATTGTAAATTCAAAATTGTCCATCTCTTATTGCAAATTTTGGATGGATGGAAGGAGGCATGCTTTTCAGCTGAACTGCTATGCTTGTTTTTTCCCCACAGTTTTACTACTTTTTCCCTCAGTTCTTCATTACTCCAGTTAAAATGATTATGGTGCTGTTTACCAATATGGAATACAACATGCAGTGTGTACAAACAAATCTCTATTTACCAGATTTAGTCTTGATTTTGTTGGCTTTCACTCATCAGTTCTAAAACATTTACTTGTGGAGATCCTTGCATTCTCCTGCCCATCTTGTGTACATCATGGAAAAGTGTTCAGGTGCAGGAGTCTGTGCTGGCAGTCCATGATGAGCTGGGATTATTTTTCTCAGTGCAGTCTCCTTTGTTTCCCCACTCTGGAGAGGGAAAACTTCAGAACCCCTGATTTTTTTTATGACCATCTTAGTTATTGTCCTTTAAGTAACAGATACTTGTTACTGATTCACAGACTGAAGCTGTCCTGGCTTTCTTTTGCAGAGCCAAATACTCCAGAAGTATTAAGGAGATGCTGGTTCTTTTTGCCACCACCGTTTACAGAGTTGGATTACAGGTTGCTCCCAGTGAATCTGATCCTCGTATTCCTGTGACAACTTGGAGCACGTGTGCTTTTACTATTCAATGTATAGGTAAAACTTCAAATGGGTTTCTTCTTTCCTGTGGTTCTGAACCTTTTTTGTTAATTTGGAATAGTGGGATATTTGTCTAAATTAGAGGTCATTTAGATATGACCTCTGGTGTACCAGTACTGCTAAAGGAAGATAGAGTGATCTCTCCCTGAAGTGGGACATGTTACTTGCATATAGAATGCCACGGGAGTTGATTACAGATGTTAGCAAAAGACCAGATTTATACAGTAGAAATAAGTAAAGTGAAAGGAAGTTCAGGCAAAACGGTGTATGAATTTCATAGATTACAAGGCCAGATGGAGGGCTACTGTGATTATTTAGTCTGAAATTGTTCTACGCTTATCATAGCACTTCCCTGATGAAAGTTTGTTTGAACTAGAACAGGGATGTCAAACTCGTTTGGCCTTTTCCTCATCCCCCCTAACTGCCAGATCCAGCACGTGTAATGCCTGCTCCAGCTGGTCTGAGACCCACACTACATGGGATGCTTAAGACTTCTTGACATGTGGCACTCATTCCAGCCTCTCTGGGATCTGTGCGCCACACAACACTTGCCCCAGCCATTCCAGGATATGTATTGTGTTGGTCAACTCAGACCCAGGGGCAGCACCAAGGGGCAGATGATGGGGACAGTATCTTTGACACTCCTGAACTAGAGCATTTCTTTTAGGGGAAAAATAATAAAATCTCTTTGAAGTTCCTTTTGTCTTTATAATTCCCTCAAGATTATTGTGTACTCAGGATGAAAGAAAACAGCTGCAGATCACTGTGACAGTTTTCCATGCAGTTGTAAGAGAAAATTAGGGGGGAGGGGTTGTTTTGTTTAGTTTTTTGTGGTTTGGGGGGGGCTGGGGGGGGGTTGCTAGGAATAACTGCTATTTTTTAATCTGGTCATAACATGTAGTGGTTGCTAGGAATTCCTGCTATTTTTTAATCTGGTCATAACATGTATGTGACTTCTTCCTTCTGCTTCTCACTTGCTGGCTATAAAGATGACCTACATCCATTACAGGATTTAAATACAATGCTTTATATTTTAAAATAATCCAGATTATGTCCAGACTTTAACCCAAAGATTTTAAAATATTTTTGGTCACTTCTGAAAAGTAACTATGCAAAAATAGCACCTCATTGATATTCAGATGCCTGAGTGACCAAAAATGAGGTCAGGGGGTAGCTTTTTTGCTTTTATTTATTTTCTTTCTATTAGTCCTGCAAAACCAGCACATTTGGGATGCAGGTGGCTGGATGATCTTCCATCTTTATCATCATCACTAGTATTTTTAATAATTATTAGTTGTATGCCTCTGCAATTCGTTAATGCGAGGTGGTGGCACAGGTACCTCTGTGGCATTGCACAGGCATAATTTAGTACAGCAGTTGCTACTCAGGATGTTGTTGCTGCCACTACCAGGTGAAATGGCCCCGTGCACTTCTTTCCTAATGCAGGCAAGAGTGCCTGCCCCTGCTATAGCTGCCTCCTGATTGGGCTTCACAACTGCCTCCTGAAAACCAAGTTGTGTGGGGCAGTTCCACCTGCTGGTGCTGGTGTGACAGCCTGGAAATAAAAGTAGGTAAACTGAGATGTTAGAACAGCAGTTCTCAACTGGGGTGCCACCAATTTCAGGAAAGTTATGAGTCTTAAAATCCTTGGCTGCCTATATACATGCTCTGAGGTGGGGGGGAGGCCTGTTATTAGAGTGGTTCCTGGACAGCTGCTTTAATTAGAACAGTTCACCGTCATGTGCATTAAGCCCCCCCATGTTTCAAAGCGGCCATAGGGGTGTTTTAACTAAAGCTTATTTGACATGGTTTAATTAAAGTGCCTCCACAGCCATTTTGAAACACGGGCTTAATACACATGACAATGAGGGTATGCTAGAGCATTCTAATTAGAATGCATTGGAGCATGTCTATATGCACCTCTTGAATTGAAAATGGCTGAGAACTACTGATTTCATGTATCACTGATCCTTCATCAGGCATGAAGGGACACAAAATAAAAAGAAAGCATATTTGTTCCTCAGAGTCCAGGCTAAATGAGCAAGATCTGGAAACTACTTAAACAATCATTTTGTTACTAGTATATTTATGTGGGACTCATGTAACTTTACATTAGCAACTTTCCAAAGTCACTTGTCAGAGTAAAACTACACTTTAAAAAGCAACCCTGTAAGTGCAACAGGTTGATCTTAGACTAAAGCAAGTGAATATGTGAAGATTAAACATGCAAACTATTTTAGTTGCTTTAAGAGCACATAACTAAAAATGTACTTTCTCTGTTTAATTTTAAGAGAATCTTCTGGAAGATGAGGGCAAACCTCTATTAGGAGCACTACAAAACAGACAGGTATGGATAATCCAAGGTGCAATAAATTTAAAAAAATGCTTGATCACTGCTACTGGTGGCATGAGGGGGTTCTCTACCAAAAGATACCTTTGAAAGAACTTTTAATTAGGTTAGTGATATAAGGATGAGTCTGACAGAGTGCATTCATATTATTACAAAGTGATTCATACTTCATTTTCCTGAATGAAGGGATAGAGAAGCGTTCTAGCACAACCCTGTTTCACTGATTTGTCTCTTTTTTTTTTTTTTTTCCTTTTCCTGTTACTCTCTTTTCTTGCCTTCTAGCACAGTGGCCTTAAAGCATTAGTGCAATTTGCAGCTGCTCAGAGGACTACAGCACCACAAAGCTTGATTCAGAAACATCTGGTTCGCCTCCTAGCAGGTAACACAATCTTTTATTTCCTTTTGCTCCCACTGCCTTCTGTCCAGTCACTTAAATCGCTGCAGAGCTGTTTTTGAAAGCTTTTATTAGACCAGGGATGGGCAATTATTTTGAGCAGAGGGCTGCTTACTGAGTTTCAGCAAGCCATCAAGGGCTGCATGACAGGCAGTTCAGGGCAGATTAATTTTCTAAATTTTTAGGGGCCCCGCAGGCTGGATAGAATAGCCTGGCGGGCCGCGTCCTGCCCACCCCTGTATTAGACAATGCCACATGTCAGTAGTACAGTATGGAAGAGAAATATGGTCTAATGATTAGTGTTTCAACCGAGAACTCTAAAAACCTGGGTTTGGTACCTTGCTACACTACAGATTTCCTGTTTAAGCAAATTATTTAGGACTAGATCCACATAAAGACTTGCACATCTAGGGTTAAACTCCATGTTTTGCGCTAATGATATGTACACAGCCATATAACTGCCGCTTTTGGCACTTAGGTACAATTTGGGATTCTGGTCTCTTAGTAGTGAAATAGAATTGCTCTGTGCACATGTCGGCCAGAAGTAAAAGAGAGGAGGGAGAGATGTTAGGGCCTTTTTACCCCCGAAGTTCTAGTGGTTAGGGCACATGCTCAGAGGGCAGGAGACTAGGGTTCTAGTCTGAAGTTGTTTGAACCTGTGGTGTCTCCTGTTTCCCGGAATAATGCTGTAACCACCAGGCCACAGCTAAGCATTACCCAGACCCCTCTTCAGCCCTCCCTTTGAAGCCTGTCCTCTGGGCAGCCAAGAAAAGGAGCTATATGGGGCCAAAAGGAAGAGAACTAACCAAAGAATGTGTGGCTCAGTGAGATAAAATACTGCTCTGGTAGGAAAGGGATCCTTCAGGCATCCTGAATTCTAACCTGGGCCCCTATTCCCAGTGATGCAGAAACTTCCCTAGTGCTGTTATCCATTTTAGTTCATAAACAATAAATGCTAAGTTTAAGGTGAGGACTGGAGGAGGGCCTGGGTCAGTGGTGCTGGGGCCACTCCATGAGTGTGATCTTGTACACCAGCCCAACCCCATGCACTGGATCTACCTGCAAGTGACCCTGTTCACTGATTTCACCATGGACTTGTGATCTAGCACACATCTGGTTCACAGGGCTTCCCGAGGATCTAGAACTTTGGCAGCAGGGGAGTGGCAATTACTGCTGCCACTGCTCCCATATTTCTGGACTCATGAGGACCCTTGTGGACCAGAGGTTGAGCACCATTGGTGTGCATTATACCTAGCCCATAGGCTGGTGGTCAGAATGTTTTGCATGTTCAAAAAAACCTCTAGACAAGAGGGCCCTAATAACTATCTTGCCATTCCCTGAGCAAGTGTTCAAAGGACTGGATATTGGGCTAAAAGGTAAGAGGGCCTCACCTTTGGTATCCAACACCTGCCAGTCATAGCTTTTCTGAGACTAACATTTTGGGGCTTATCTAGCCAAATCTAAGCTCATCTAACCTTATCTAGCCTAGGCTGTTCTGTTTTACTGCGCAGCTGCCCAGCTGGGGTACAGCCATGCTGAGCAGGCTCACTAGGCACACATGGACTTGCACACAGACCTAAATTGCAACCTGTGCCTTAGTGCCAAAAAATGCAGTTACACAGCTGTGTACATGCTAGTTAGATGCACACAGTGGAATAGCAGGTAGCCCCTAAGCTCTTTCCTACTGTCCCCCCCTGTACATGTCTAGATGCAAAATTAAAATACAGTAAAATCTGTCTCAGGTGGAATGTGTCAAGCTGGAAATCTGTACAAGGTGAAAAATGCATGCTATATGGGGAATGGAATTAAGTATATTTAGTCTGTATAAACCAGACACTGACATGAAAACTGGAGGAAATTTGGCAGGTTTCTAGCTTTGACAGGTTCCTTCACAGAGAGATTGTGCTGTCAACCCTTGCTGTCCCTGGTCCTGGCGTGCCTACCCACCTTTTAAACTTCCCAGGGCACAGTCAGCCCCAAGATGAAGAGGTCACCACCCAGCCCTGGGGCTGCGCACAGCCTCACCACAAGCTTTAAAAGGGTGCACATGTAGCTCCGGAACAAGGGAGTTGCTTCCCAGTCCTGGGCTGCTCACATGCTGGGCAATTTAAAAGGATGATCTAGCAGCACTGGGACTCGAGCCATTTTCTGGTTTTTGGGGCTGCCATCATTTCCTTTAAATTGCCTGGCAGCTGGCAGGGCAGGACAGCCTGCAAGCTGCCCCTGCTTGCTGGTGCTTTTCTGTCCCTATTGCTGCTCTGCTTGCAAGCAGCAGTGGGGACAGGGAAGTCTACAAGCAGCTCTCACCATGGCCACTTGCAAGAAGGCAAGGATGAGGGAGCTTCCTGTAAGTGAGAGTAGGAGTTGATTAAGAGGTGCCAACTCCACATTAGTCCCTGCCACTGCTTGCAGGGAGCATTGTCACCCTTGCTACCCAACAAAACCTTTCTCTGGACGTCCTCTGGAGCGAGGGGCAGCAAGCACAGCTGCCCACCTTGCAGGAACTGTGGCTGTTGCCAGGTGTTCTGTGGCCAAAACATTGGCTTTTGTTGGGGTTCAAGCTGCTTGGGCAGGGCTTCTTACCCAGGCTATCGGAACATGAACATAAGCCTGTGATTTAACAGCCTGGACAGCACTTCAGGGGGACCCTGGCCTGCAGCCTGAATCCTGGGGTGGAGTATTGACATCTCTGCTGGTCCTGCCACCCTGACAGCACCACCTGCTCTGTCCTGCTGATCAGCAGGACCAGGCATGGGGCAACATTTCTTGAACACTAAGTGCTGGGCAGGCTGTTAGGGAGCCAGGGGAGTGGGTGCCTCTGTTCCTCCTATAAGACAGAAATCTGTTTAAACCAGAACTTCCACCTTGTCTAATGCAATTCTGCATTAGACAGTGTTCACTGTATTTAAATCCACTCCTTCAGCTGTCACTTAACCTTTGGGCCTTTCATTCTTAGGATGCTAACTCTCCCTGACATTGTAAAGGTGCCTAGGCCTCTAACGTAGAACGACGGTTAGAGGTTTTCAACCTGAAAACCTAGTCCTGAGGTTTTCAACCTTTTTTTAACAAGTGTATCCCTTCTTTCTCAGTTTCAGCTCATGTGTACCCCTTTATATTTTTCTGTTTTTAATGTTACCAATTATGTGATATAAGGTAGGATACACTAAATAACATTCAATGCATTATGCATTAAATATATATGTACTATAGTTACGCCACAGCAGTTTGGGCTGGTAAGTCTGTTGTGGGGAAAGGGACAAGGGGGGATGGAAGGGCTGTGGCGGGGACAGATAGAGGTCCCTGCAGTGAGGGAGGGAGTAGGGCAGGGGCAGGCACTGCACAGTCAGGGCAGAACATGGGATTAAACCACAAGCGGCTTGTTTGGGTGGTGTGGGGTGGGGGGAGTGGCCCCCGCTGCTGCATGCACCCCAGGAGGGTGTAGGGGGAGTGCCACTGAGTCTGTGCAGGGCGAGAGCGGGCTGCCACTTGCAGGCCGGGGCTAGGGCACCTCTGGGCTCTTCCTGACCGGGGGGAGTGGGGGCAGGGGCTGGACTGGCCTGGGCTGCGTTCAGGGCTGGTGGCAGTGGCCCTGGGAAGGGGGGTTAAGTGGGGTTGCAGCCACCCCAAAATTCACCATATCGGCCACATTATGGACCACACCAGTCAAAAAAAGCTGGTTACCGATACTGTCACTTTTCTGCCTATCCAATATAGGACTGATGTATTGGTGTATCTCTAGTAATTTTTTCTCATTTGTTCTGTGTACCCCCTACGACGTTTTTAAGTACCCCTAGGGGTACACGCACCCCCAGTTGACAACCACTGTACTAGGCAGTAGGACACCTGAAAGTTGCAAGGCCAAAGCCATTTAATAGATCTAGCCCTTAGTTTCTTGTGTCTTATTTTTCCATCTCTAAGACCAGAGGGATACTATCACCTATCTTCACTGTTTGAAGATATGCTCATTAATATTTGATTCCTAATCAGAGAACAGGAATATGTAGGATGGAAATGAGTAGGTTTTAATTGCTAGTTTAATTGATTAATCAGAGCTCCAAAAGAAGCAGAGGTTACACACTGCCCTCACACTACCACTGCAGTTCCACTCAAGAGAGCAAAATCAGTAAGCTGGCTGGATAATGAATATCTTTTTTTTTACGTAGTTCTTCTGCCAGATGTTAAAGTGGAAGACACACCGTCTCTTCTAGATATAGATATGTTTCATGTTTTGGTAAGCACATTTCTCATTTTATTTTTGCTGTTAACTCTCTTACTTCTGATGTGCTATTTAATGTGAATTCTTCTGGAAACAAACTTGTGATATCTTCCCTGGTTGTGGGCAGTAATCCAGGAATAAGCTGACTTTCTTCACCACAGATGTTTCCTCCCCATCAGTTCAGCCATCTTCCTTGCTTCCCCAGCTTCCACTTTTGTTATTCCTGTGCTTTTACCTCCTCTGATAGCCTCAAACTATCCCTTTCTCCTTCCTCCTCTTTTCTTGCACAGTATCTTGCCCATTTCTTTCAAAAGAAAATTTTCAGAATATGTTGACTTCACCTCTCAGCTTGCCTTCCTTTCCCTTCTCCCCATTGCATGTGAAGTTCTTTGTTCTTCACCTCTCATCCTTTCACTTTGCCTTAGTGACCTCACCCCATCTTTTAATTTCTCTAATGCTCTCACTCATCTCCTTTTAATTAATTTCTCCTTTCCATTGGCTCTTCCCTTCACCATACAGGCATTCTTTAGTCTTTTCTATCATTTAAAAAAAATCTTGCCTCCCCAGCTACCACCCTTTCTCCTTTTCATCTCTAAGCTTCTTCAGTGTTTTATTAATACTAGCTGTCCTTGAGTTCCTTTCTTCCAGTTTCATCCTTGACAACACCTGATCTAGCTCATCTCCCTGGGCACCACTTGAAGTCACTCTCCAAAGACCCTAATAATTATTCTTTACCTACATCTCAGAACAAATACTCTATCCTCCTTCTGCTTGACCTGTCAGCACCTTTATCACAATATAAAATATTCTTGAACTCTTATCCTCTCTTCTTTCTTTGGTTCCATCCTCACTTAATTCTCCTCTTAGCTTCTCTAATTTAACTTCTACATGTGCCTGTCAAATTTGCAGACCTCTTGATGTGTTCTCCCATGTTGCTCCCATGCATGTAAGGAATTCCCTGTAAACATCCATAAAACTACCTCATTAGCTTCCTTCAAATCCTCTCTCAAAACCCTTCCTTGCCATGATGTTTACAAAAATATGTAAGTTAAACTTCTTGTAGGCTAGAACTAGTGCCTATCCCACTGACCACTATTCACATAGTTTCCTTGTTGTACCCCAGCTCTGTCTCTTCATACATGTGTGCGCACATGTGTAGTCTCATCTTTTGAGACAAGGACCTTCTTTTTATTTCGTGTTTGGACATCACCTAGCAAAATAAAGTTCCGGTCAATGATTGGGGTGCTCAGATGCTATAATAACGTACAGTAATAATAGTAGTAGTAATTTTGATGTCACCTGTTGTGCAGACTTTGTAAACTTGTGACAGAGGTAAAAAGATAACCAAACTAATTGCACTGAAAACATGGTCCTAGATATAAATAGTGAAGTGTAGATGATTGTATGTGGCATGACTGTGTGTATTTTGTAATGTTATCCTAAGAAGAACTTCAGAATTTGTGATTGTTTGCCAGTATTCTTTGCTTTTTGTCTCTCTTGCTATAGGTAGGATCTGTGTTAGCATTCCCATCTTTATATTGGGAGAATGCTGTAGATTTGCAACCTTCATCTATTAGCTCTTCCTATAACCACCTTTACCTCTTCCATTTGGTCACCATGGCACACATAACACAAATCATTCTCACCTCAACAACAGGTAAGAGTACATCCAGTTTTGGATTTCTCAGGTATTTTGTCCAGTTTTTACAAAATCAATTACAGACATTTTTAGTAGAAGATAGTGCTTTCCACATGTACGAGCTTTACCATAAGAGATGTGTAATGTTAATTTTATATTATGTTGTATTTTATTAATAATTGTTTCCTAACAAAAACTAAAATAGCAGTATGATTACTTTTAGAGCTCTGTTTATGCATTGTTTCTATGCCTTTGGTCTCATGAAACAAAGCAGCCCCCATAGTATACCAATAATTGACTGAGGCTACAATACTAGATTGGTAGTGTTTCACATCTACTCTTTGTGGGGGAAAATACAAATCTCTGACAAATACTTATCGTGGTGTTGAAGATCAAGTGATAGATGAATTTAGGGACACCAGCGTTTGAGTGTTGTGGAGGTCTGTAAATCTAGAGGAGGGAATGATGGTACTCAGTAACCTGATAAAGTTGGGGTTCCAGTTTTCTGTATTCTACTATTAATCACACTGTGGAACAGTACAGACCAGTAGCCTTAAGTCACCATTCCATAGATTTGCCAGCTCCTACCTCCTTTGTTCAGGGTCATTACAGTGTAACCAAAGAAAATATTAAATCTTGTATGGCTACTAATGTAGAAAAATAATGTCAAAAGATAAAGGAAGGGAAGCAGAGGAAAAATGAGTATGAGAGTGACTGCTTTTATAATCCCTCTTACATTATGCAGTTTCGGGGGAGAGGATGTTTGTTGGATTGGGAGGGGGGAAAGGAAATAGTTCAATATAATAAACTGTAAACATTTTTGTGGTTTGTACATATACATTTGAAACTAGAGTGATGTGTGTAAATTGACAGGAGAGTTTGAAGTGCATATGCAAGCGTTAATAATTTTTTGCACAGAATCCTCCACTGCTCAATCACAAGATGACAGTGAGGAGGCTCGTACTGCTGAGGCTTTCTGTAAGGAAGTTTCCCAGTACACCAGTGGGTAAGTAGGAATTCAAGTCTAATATTAAGTGTTTTCCAAGACATAACGAATACTTCAAAGAAATGAGCCTGAGAGACATGAACAGACAAGCAGTTATGCTGGTTTAAAGCCACTGGGGGACTTATAGCTTGTAAGAGTGCATCAGCTGATTGTTGCAACTCTTTCATCTGTATACCCTTCTCCAGCAGTAAATAAAAGCAACCATTTACCCCTGAATGAAGCAGTGATAAGTTTCTGCAGTTCAACTTCCACTTACCACAGCATAGTGTGAACAATAAGAACAGTTACAGTGGATTCCACTGAAACAGAGTAAGTCATCTCCTCCCAAAGCAGTACAGTTGTTTCATCTGCCCGTGGTCTGAATAACACAGAAGAAGTATGTTGGACCCACTTTATTTAGGTTAGCAAAACAGTTCATGTGCTGCAGGAGCATGGCATGGTTCTATTGTCTCAGTTAATTTTTAGCAAAAGTAATATTTTTAGTTCAAACAACATTTTCCCAGGCCCAAAGCAGATTCTTGCCATGACCTAAAGCATCCATTTGTTGCTATCCATATCTTGGGGAGTAAAGCAGCCACCATTACCAGTCAGCGATCTAGGAAACTCATTGAGCAGCTGGGTCTGCTCAATGAGGGGTGGGGAGGGATGGCAAGGGTATGTCAACCACAGTAGACTTTGGTAGGAGGGGGCAAGGGGTGCAGCAGCGTGGGTGATGGGAAGGGAAGTCTTACCTCCACAGGCTGCTGCAGTGTCAGCTCTCCTGTGGCCAGTTTTCCTCACTCTGAGATCCTAGTGCCCCATTCACTCCCCCTGCCTTCCCCATATATGCATATTGGAAGCATGCCTGGTTTGCCTCACTAGGTGGGGGGGCACCATTCTGCTTATCCCACTTGCCCCCCTGCTAGATGCATTGTTTGATGCAGCACTGTACTCTCCAGCTGCTGTAGCCAGGCAGAGGCAGCACAGGGTTTTCCTTGCTGCTGCACAGGCTCCAAGGCAGGAATGGAATAAGGGAGCACCATTCCACTTGCCCCACTGGCACCCTTCTCCCCAGATGCTCTGATTGGTATGGCGCTGCACTGCCCAACTCCTGTGGTGGGCAGAGGCATTGCAGAGCTACCCCTACCACAGCAAAGACTGCCGGCAGGGCTGGATGATCCTGGTACCTTTTCATAGTTGATACCCGAGGCAGGTACCCCACTTACCCCGCCATAGTTAACACTAAGGACCATTATTACATTAGTAGAGAGAGAGGAACAGGTACAGCTGTGTATGGGAAGAGGTCTTCCCTCTTCTACTCATATTTCCCAGTTCTTGAGAGAAATACCTCCGCTACGAAACAAGCAAAAGCAATGGAGAAATAAGGCTTAAAAAGTGGGGAAAGATTCTGGAATAGATGAAGGAAAAAATAGTTATACCTAGGTTCCATAGCTTCTTGTGCACAGCCATGTATGTTCACTGTTTGGAGCACTTCAAACAACATATCTACATAGCCTGAGGCTCTGAGGCAGTTACCTCCTGTTGCTGCAACACTGCTGCAGCTCCACCAGTGCTAGCAATGATGAGAGCACTACCACAGATAAGCTATCAGACCTTTTAGGAAACATGGTGATGACCCCATTGGAAAAAATGTCAGAAATATTCAACGAAGTGCACAAAGATAAAGACATACAAAAGAAGAATATAGGTAAACTCAAGAGAGCATTTACTCTGAACTTACAGCTTTTTTCTTTGGTTTGTTGTATTGCAGTTGCTTTAGTCAAAACACTCCAGGCTGGCATATATGGGACTGTGTCAAGAAAGGCATTACACCTTACCTTCGTTGTGCTGCTTTGTTTTTCTATTATTTGCTGGGGGTGCCTCCACCTGAGGAGCTGCTGGTAGGTAAGTAAGATAAAGCGATGTTTATTATTTTACCTGTTTGCTGTTTACTTGTTGAATAGTTGAGTGCTTAAATTGTCAAGGCGTAAATGAGGTTACTTAATGTTATAGTAGTAGTAGAACGAAAAGTTATAGTAGTACCTTACACAGAAAAGCAATGAAAACTACATATAGAAGGGGTAGGAGTAAGTAGCAGGTTTGCCTGTGCCTTACCTTTGTGGAAAAGTGCTTTTAATTACAAATTAAGGTGTAAATTTAAACTGAGATAGTTATAATAGCATAGTAGTATTAACCTGTGTGGACACACTTATCCCAGTGTAAGGATAACTTTTATTCATTTACTTGATGTTACTTAGAAAAGAATTTAAAGACTATCAAGAGCTACTCTTACACTGGAATAAGTATATCCATGAAGTGGGGTGTGGGAGAGGGCTAGTCTCATATAATTCTTTCCATATTATCTGCAGAGTTTACCTGTGTAGACAAGCCCAAACTGGAGCTCTTCACACCAGTCTGGAGCTTTGGTTCAATAAGAAGGAATGTTCACTGATGATCAGTAACATGATTTTCTGTCATTCCTTAGAATTATTAAGATTATGATAATGCTACTTACAGTTCCAGGAAGCTCCATGTCTGCATACAATGCTTCCTGAACCAGAAGTAGTATTGCTGCCTTAATGCAGCATTGCCTCCTGGCAGAGCTTATTGGTGAGTAGGCTTCAGTGTTGCATTAAAGGTTCAGGGCCCACCACATGTTTTCTGCAGGATAAATTGCCTTTACCCCACTTGATCTTAGCTCATAGGACCAAGAAGCCAAGTGGACCTGTGAGGCAGGACTATTCCACTCTGGGGCAAACTGTTCCACTCTGGTAAAGTTCTGCCTCAGAAAAAATGAAGAGTAACTATACACATATAAATTACACTAGTGTACTGAGTACGTCGCCTCTCCTAGCTGCATCAGTTCCAGGCTAGCTGCTTCTTCAGTGCCAACCAGTTCTCTTCCATGTAGGTGCAACAGTAGTACCTATTGAAGACATTCTGGTTAGGAGATATTTTTGTGTCTACTCCTTACTACAGAGTGAAATCTGAGATGAATTACTTTGTAGTAATTGTGCAGTGTCATCACCCTAAGGAAGCTATACTATGTACAATTAAGGAAGCAACGATTGCAGAGCAGGATGGCATGCATCAGTACAGCCTTACTGGAGCAGTTCAGATATGCCAAGAGGTTTGAAGTAGTGATCTGGCTCCACCTTATTTAACTTAGGTGTTCTGATGACATCTTAGTAAAGTAAAATATGGTTGCAGGCCAAAAATGTAATGATCAACTGGTGATATGATAATTGAAGACATAGTGGATGCATCTACACATACATTTGATTCAGGATCAGTTTACTTGCAAGTAAATGCTCCTGGGCAGACATCTACACATGCAGAGAAGCGGGAGCAGATTTGCTGCTAATGGCAGCAAACTGCTTCCACTTCCTGGGGCCTTGCAATAGCCCCCTTCTGCCACCAGGGGGAGCGCTAGGCTCCCCCTGTGTACTAGCCCAGGGCCCAGCAGGGAGCACTGGGCCAGGAGACGGTTATCTCCTTGCTGGGGCTAGGACATAACACCCTTCCCAGAGGGTCTGCCTGCTGCTGGGGCAGGGAGGTCCTGGCCCTGGCTCCCCGATCAGGGACAGGAGATTTAGAAAGAGCTGCAGGGGAGGGGCAGGTCCCAGCCCCTGCCCGGATGCTCCAGTGGGGCAGCTGGCAGCTAGCTCACTGCTAGTTGACCTACCCCATCCCTGCAGCTCTTTCCAAGCCTTGTGCCTCAGTCACCCAGTTTGGGCACAGGGTTGGGACCTGCCCCATACCAGGACAATTCCCAGTCCCTGCTTCGCATTCAGATGTCACAGCACCAGCTCTGTAGCAGCAGAGCTGGCACTGGGAGATAAGGATTTCCTAACCCTCACTCCCCAATCGCAGTTTCAGAGCAGAGGGCTTGGAGCTCCTTGCTGCCGGGGCGGGAGGACATACTCCTTGACTGGGTTGTGCTGGCAGAGCCTGCCCTAGCAGCAGGCAGCTCCCAGGGGACAGGGAGAAATTTCCTGCCCCCTGGTGGACGGGCTGACCGGGAGCAGATTTGCTCCTGGTCAGACATTTACACAAGTGCTACTGCGCTGACGCTAATCAAAAGTAAATTTGCTACTTGCATTTGCAGGTAGCAAATTTACTCACGATTAGTGAGGTTTACTGTGCAGTAAGCATGCGCACATGTAGACACACATGCTTACTTTGCAGTAAATTACGCTATCACACAGTTAAGCATCTTGTGTAGATGTGCCCAGTATGAAGCTTTCAGTCTCAAAACGCATAGTCCTGCTGCTCTAATAAATGTATAATGTGCTCTGTAGTCTAGAGCAGGAGTGTCAAACATAGTGTGCAGGTCGGATCTTTCCAGCCTGCTGGGCTACTGACAGGCAACCAAGAGTTGGAGGATGGGGCCAGGGGCAGTGGCCTGCCACAGAATCAGGTGCCCTTGGGCCCTGGTAGACATGGCAGTTGGTGGCAGGAGAGCAAATGAGGGTTGATGCAGCTCTGGTTGCCCTCTGGCAGCTTCACCTGTCACCAGTGCTGTGGGTCTGCCTTCTCAGCCACTTGCCACGCTGTGGCCCTGTTCTGAAGCCCAGTGCCAGAGCTGGAGCTGCTGCTGTGGCAATGGTGCCTGTGGCAGGTCTGACTCTGTCATGGGGCACATGGTGGCGGCAGCAGCAGTGCTGACTTTGGCATAGGGCATGCAATGTGGTGGGAGCTATTGCTGGAGCTGTATCCCTGTGCTGGAGCTGGAACTGTCATTGCTGCCGCATTGAGTTGGAACCACCTCCAGCCTGGATGTGTCCCACAAGGAGCCCCATGGTTTGGATCCAGCCTGGGGCAGGAGGTGGGCTTGACATGCCTGTTCTACAGTAATTAGGTAGGGACTGAAAACCTTGAAATGGGGTTAAAGAATTTAAGTTTTTGACCCATATATACCATTTAAAAGCACTTTAATATTATTAAATGCGAGTTTTATTAAATTAAGAACCAAATTCTAAAGTTGTATAAATTAACTTAGTTCTGTTTAAGTGAATGGAGCTACGTCAAGCTGCATCAGCTGAAGAACTGCTTTTTGTGTTCAGGTGTGCCTATTAATCAGCATAAAAAATCAGAACAATCCTGGATTCCCATTATGCCTGCTATGATTGTGTGATCTGTTCAGAAAGATCTGTAGAAGACTGGACAGGCTTGAAAAAATTAACATATTCCTCATGCTTTCTTATTTTGCAGTTTCTGATGAAGGACAGTTCAAGGCACTTTGTAGTTATCTCTCTCTTCCCACCAATTTGTTCCTGCTTTACCAGGAATATTGGGATACTGTAAACCCCTTGCTCCAAAGGTACTAGCTTGAGTAGCTGTCTTGGGATGATGGTATGGGAATTTGGGGTGCAATTATTGAATCATTGCTTCAGCTCTGATCAATGCCATATTAAAATGTTAAGAGTTAGCTTGATAAGCATGCTGCGTGTTGAATTGCCGAAGAGGTGGTATTTTTCTTTATTTTGAATTTTTTATATTAATAAACTGCCCCCGACATTGAACCTCAACAGACCCGGTGCCAGCTTCTGACTCATTTGAAACCACTGCATGCAAGTTATCCTGGAGTGTTGCTCTTTTGGTAGGCCACTGGTGCTCAACTTTCTGGCTCTGCGGGCCAGATCCATCATGGAGTCAGTCTGTGGGTTTGCTGGCCTGGCCACGCAGGCTCAATCTGGCAGCAGGTGTGACCACACAGTTTCTGGCCACAAAGCTATCTTGTATGCTAGATCTGGCTGCGGCCTGGCCGCATGTGCCAACCCATTCCCACATGCCGGATCCAGCTGCAAAGCAACCCTATGTGTCAGTGTGTGGGACCATGACATCTGGCCCACAGGGCGCCCCTTGGGTCTGCGAATTTGGCAGCAAAGGAACAGTGGCTGGCAGCATTAATTATCACAGGAAGCTGCAGAATGCTACCATTACTCCTCCGCTACCATTACTCCTCCACTACCAGATTCCCAGACTTGTGAGGATTCTTGCGGGCTAGATGTGGTCCATAGACCAGAGAATGAGCACCATTGTGCTAGGTCATTCTCTCTTTGTTGATCTGCCTTATCTTGCCTGTCTCTCCACAGATGGGATGTTAATTATAATGATGATCTTGAGAAGGAGGATCTTGGTTTGCCATGTAATATAATCTGTTCTGATTTAGGGATGTGCCTGCATTGCATTTTCAATTCAGTCAGATTAAGGGTAGTAGTTAGCCTCCTGATTATTGCCCCGTCTATATAATATGATGAAACCTCTCAGTAAAGGAAAAGTTGGATAAAATAAAAACAAAAAAATTACTGTCTTGAAGAATTTCCATATTCATTTGTTTACAGAGTGTGATATTAGTGTTAACATTTGATATTCTTGGGCCTGGTAGAATTCTCTAGAGAAGTGGGGGGCAAGTTTTTAGGCAGGCATGTCATAAATTAGCCTCCCATCTTCCCAGAGTGCCTCTCCAATCCCTTTCCCTTACCTGATCTGCCACTCTGCTTTCTGCTCCCTGCCCTATGTGCCACTGTGCTGCCTGTCCCCTTCCCAGTCTGCTGCATGCCACACATAGAGGCTGCTTCAGGTTGACCACCCTTGCTCTAGATTAACACCAATTATTCTGTCTTGTCCTCTGTCCTCATGAGGCCTTTTTGTTGACCTATGAAACATTTTAAGCCTGTTAACTCCAACCTCTGGTCTTGATACTGATTCATTTTCTGGGAGATGCTGAGTATAATTTTTGCTTCATTTAGTTGAAGAACAATCTCGATTAAGAAAATACTTAGTTTTAGATTTCTTAAATGGCTGCTAAGAACATTCCTTTTTCTAAGTTTAATCCTCATAGGAGTGCATTCAAGATATGATTTTTGAGTAACAGAAGACATTTCCTTGAGCTGGGGCTGATAGTACCACCTCACCAGAGAAATTAAATGAGAACAGATCTATTTTATAATAATTCTATTGCTAGATTGCCACATCAGCCTGCGTGCATTTATTAAAAAGCCTTACTTCAGAAGAAAGAGTTCAGTTGCTTTTGAGAAATGCTATTGATGCACATCAGCTAAAATAACCATCTGTTGTTGATCTCTCTCTCTCTCTCTCTCTTCTGTGTTGCAGAAGTAATATAAAGTAACTGTCTTAGCAAGAGTGCCAAAGAAATTCATTTTATTCCTATAGTTAGTGGCTTGGCAGTACTGTAACTTGCTACACTATGTGGGTGGATCTGTTTTGCTATTATAAACATAAATACAGTAAATATTTGTGATTAATTTATTTTAAAAATGTGGTTGAGTGAAAATCTTTGAGTGGAGTGCAATGGCCCACTTGGGCACCATAAGAATCTCAGCACCTAGATGTTGCTAATATTTTTTTTAAACGTGTGTTTTGTAAAGAGGTGCTTACAAGTACTTCTTTAAAAATAGATTTTTCTGGGTCCTCTGGGGCGTGCGCAGGGCCCCCCCCCCCACTCCCACGCCCCCCCTGGCTTGGCGATCGGAAAAATAGATTTCCCTTTTGCATGTATTGTATTTCATCCCCGTGAATTAAGATTTCAAAGAACAACTAAATCTCCTCAGAGAAAAATAATTAAAACCATTTGTGTCCTCCTCTTGCTTACCTAGTTTTGTGCTTATTGTAGTAATAAAATGTCAACAGCATTGTTTGTTTGCTACAGGTGGTGTGCTGACCCTGCTGTACTAAGTTATCTGAATGGGAAAAGCATAGCAATAAGGTTAGTTGGGTTTTTTTGTGGCTGTTTTTTGACCCAAAAATGTTGAAGGAGCTGGGTTTTTGATAGATGAAAAAGGATGAATTGTAAGTGCTTATATTTGGTGAGGTTTTTTCTGTCCTGTTCCCTTTGCCATAAATTTCCCCTCATTTTCAAATGAGCTTATTACTCTCCCTTCCCAAGACCAAACTACTACTCTTCTTTTGGACCATCAAGCATTTTTTCTAATTAATCTGTCTATGTTTTCCTGGTAATGTCAGATAACCTTCCCCAAAAATAAATGTGTGTTCTTACCATGCAGACTTAGTATTATCCCCTTTGTTTAATGTGCATGCACACACATATATTACGGGTGTGCAGAACAGGCTGTATTAGATTCAGATTTGGCCCAAATCGGGATCAAATGTTGATTTGGATCACTGTCCCAGTTCGATTTGGCTGAATCTGAAGATTCGTTTCGGCCAGAGACACAGCTTTACATGCTTTTTCTACATACCTTGAGGTACCAGGCACGGCTCATGGATGGTGGGGTGGATGGAGCGTTCCACAGGAGCATTGCGGGGGGGGCCCACGTGCTCAGTGGTGAACTCAGAAGTGGAGCAGAAGTACTTCTGGGTCTGTGGGGGCTCCCCCTGCACCCCGCCCGGCTCTGCCATCTGCCACGAGGGAACCCGGGTGCCCCCCCAGACCCAGGAGACACCAGTCGCTGAGCTGGGAGGCCACGGGGGGGCTACCCATACCCTTCCTGGTGGACCGGATGTGCTTCTGGTCCACTTTCGGGTCTGCTCCTGAGCGCACTGGAAAGCCCCCTGTGCGCCTGTGGAACGTTCCATCCGCCCCACCATCTCAGCATTCACGAGCCGCCTAGTACCTTGAGGTGTGTAGAAAAACATTTAAAGCTGTGTCTATGTCCGAATTGCCGAATCTCTCTGAATTGATTCGGAGGGTTCCAATTGATCCATCTCCAAATTGATTTTATTCTGCCTTTCCTTTGGGTCCATAGATTTGAGAGATGCCTTTAGACTGGCAGAAAGAAATCCAAAAATCTAGAATTCTTGGTTCAGAGATGATACTTTTTGTTAGACCGACTAAGAAACTGCAAAAAAAAAAATCTTTTTTACAAGCTTTTGGGCTCACATGCCCTTCATCAGGCTCAGGGAAAATTAGAGATGGTAAAAAGTCCCCATAGATAGAAAATAAATTTCATTTTTGCACAGAGGAAGCTGAAGATGGAAATCTGTCCTTCTGGGTCCATGAGAGTGTCTTCGTGAGATGCTTTTTGTTGTGCAGATCAGGCAGGATTCCTTCCCTGGTGGTGTCAGATGGCAAGCAGGGAGGTGTAGAAATCTTTCTTTCTGTTCAGCAATGCAGTTTATAATCCAAAATCAGCTATAATTTGGCATATGTTTGTAATTCTTTTTGTCTCAGACCAATACAGCTAACAGATACATCTCTGGATTGTCAGAAGTTCATACAGAATATAGGAAATTTAACAGAGTAGTGGTTTATTTGTAATCCATGTCCAGTCTGCATTATTTTTTCTAATTATTTTCTTTAACTTTCCTAGGTACCCAAGGAAAAGAAATAATTTAATAGATCTTCCAGAAGACTACAGCTGCCTCCTCAATCAAGCTTCTCAGTTTCGGTAAAAACTTAGTAGTTTTCTTAGCTTTCTTGTCAGTGTTACAGTGCTGTTCGTATTCATGCTGTTGGTGTAAACCATGGAACAAATGGCTCAGTCATGTGTCAGCAGTAGAGAGCATCAGTTCAGGAAGAGAATACCTGGGGGTCGGACCTGATGGTCTGTTTAGGTCCCTTCTGACCCTAAGAATTATGAAACCTGGGAAAGGTATTGCAGAACTGAATATATTATTTTGTTTATATCCACTAATAGCCAGCTGACCATTTTAAGGTTGGAAAAAACACAGCTTACTTAAAAAAAAAAAAAAAAAAAAAAAAAGACATATAATAATATTATTACACTTTAAATATTATTTAAAGTGTAATAATATTATTTAATTAAATAAACATGGCATTTAAAACATGCCATGTTTAAAACATGGCATTTGTCATGAATGTGCGTTAGATCAGGGATTTTCAACCTCCAGCCCATGGGCCAAATGAGGCACATGGAGCCTTGGGAAGCTCAGGCTTCCCAAGGGTTGGGAAATATGACTGTGGGGGAGCTATTGCAGTTAATATTGCCACCCTCCCCGCTGCCAGAATCCCCAGTCCTGCTTATTGGGTCAGAGCTGAGCCGCAACGCTCCCCCTGTACAGCCAGATTGGGGCTGGGCCCACACCCCTTTCCCTCCATGTGGCCCGATTGGGGCTGGGTCACATGCTTTTCCTATGGGTCTGGCCCACGCCTCCTTGCCTTGTACCCAGCTGGGTTGGAAACGGGCTGTACTCCCTTCCTTTTGCAGGGCTGGTTTGGGACTGGGCAACACCAAGCTGTGCATCCTTTATTCCCCCCAACCCCCACAGAGATGGTCTACAATCCCTTTCCTCCCATCCAGACAGATTGGAGCCAGGTCATGCCCCCACCTCCCATCCCCCATGGTGCTGGGCCAAACCCCTTTCCCCAACATGGCTGGCTTGGGCTACCCCCACTCCTCTCCATGCACCGGATGGGGCCATGCTGCACCTACCCTGGGTGCCAGATTGGGTCTACTGGCCAGATGGAAGGGACCAGGCACTGCCAATCTGGCCTGCTGGATGAAAAGGTTGAACACCACTGTTTTAGATCATATATCTGACAGTTGCTTTCACCATTGGACATGTCGGAACTAGAAATTTGGCACTTGGTTAAGGTAGTAAATCTTGATGTGCAGATGAAGGGCTGATAGAGAAAGCAATGTTAAAATACATCTTTTTCACCTTACTGTTCCCATAAAGGTCACCTGAGAGAGAGAGTCTTAGATTCAAAAGCTTGTTGAACTTTATCTCAACTACATAGTTGGTTCAAAAGATATCGCCATAAGAAGTCCTTGCCTCTTGCATAATTTCTGGACTATCACAACTATAACATGACTTTCACACAACCATTCTTTAACTGAGATTTTTTGCATATGGAAGTCAAAAAGCGCACAGTAATTTATTACTTATCTTCTTCCAGGTGCCCAAGATCATCTGATGATGAACAAAAGCATCCAGCATTGTGTTTGTTTTGTGGGGTTATGCTATGTTCCCAGAGAGCCTGCTGTCAGGAGTTAGTGAATGGAGAGGAGCTAGGAGCCTGCAACTTTCATGCTCTCCATTGCGGAGCTGGAGTCTGTATGTTCCTCAAGTAAGTAACTACCCAGAATGTAATGTTGTCTTTGTGGGTAGCAGGCAGGAGGGCAGGGGTATAACTCAAAGGCAAGAAAACCACAAAAGGATCAAAACATAATGTTCTTGGGAGTTGGAGTGAAAGACCCACCACTTGGACTTAGTGTCATTGCCAAAAACTTGAAATCACTAGTGTTAGCCAGTGGATTGTGCTGTAGTCTCAAGGTACCCAGTCAAACTGCATCCTTTGTCATGTGTTTAAACAACAGCAGAAATCTCCTAACTCTTTATTACAGTTATTCTTGACCTTTATACTCAAAGCAGCTCTTGCTGTACATGTCTTGGGTGCCAGATTGGGTCCATGAAGGAACCACAAAGGAACTAGGCACTGCCAATCCAGGCTGCTGGATGAAAAGGTTGAGCACCACTGTTTTATGTAATGGCTTGATGTCCCTATTAAATTGATACATATATATAGATATATAGCAAATAATTCTTCTTCACCAGGGAATGACATATCTCCAATAAATGCTGCATTTATTGCTCCTCCTCCCTCTGCACAGGAAAATTTTAAATGAAGCCAGCATTAAACCATATCTCTTATGGGCAATGCATGAAAGTGGGTATCTGCCCCCAGGGTATAGATGATATCCAGATCAAAGCAGCAATTCTTAACAATAGAGGTGCACCGATACATCAGTCCATATCCTATCGGCACCAATAAAAGGAAAATTGTCATCATTGCCAATTGGCTTTTTTTGGCTGATGTGGCTGATAATGTCACCAATAAATCCTGTGTGCATGCGTGGAGCTGAAGCATGCATGTGGCCAGTTTGGCAGCTTAGAGAGCAGTATCTGGCTGAAAAGTCTGTTGCTGGGGGGGCAGGGGGCGGCAGATCAAGGCCCCTGCAGTGAGCGAGTGGGGCTGGTGCAGGGGCAGGTGCTTCTCAGCTGGGGCAGGGCGTGGCATGGAGCCACAAGAGGCTCTTCCAGGGAGGTGGGGTAGGGGGCGGATCCCACTTCTATGTGCACCCTGGGGGAGCCATACAGGATGCCCCGTGGATCTGTGCACAGGGCAAGGGCAGGCTGCTGCTGCGGGCTGGGGCTGGGGTGACACTGGGCTCTTCCTGGCAGGGGTTGGGCCAGGAGCTGTGCTCAGGGTGGGCAGTGGCGGCACTGGGAGGGGGGCTACAGGGTTCAAATTCTGGGGTAGCCACAGCCCACCTGGTAACCACCCCCCTTTTCCAGTGCTGCCACCACCTGCGCCAAGCATAGCCCCTGCCGAACCCCTCTGCTGGGAAGAGCCCAGCAGCAGGCCTGACCCCAGCCTGCAGGGGCAGTCCACCCTTGCCCAACGCACAGATCTGGGGAGCACATGCTCCCCATAGCTCTCCCAGGGGTGTGCGTAGCAGCAAGATCTGCCCTCGTCTCCCCGCACCCCCCCCCAAACAAGCCTCTTGTGGCTCTGTCCTGTGCCCACCTGGCTGGGCAGCGTCTGCCCCTGCCCCAGTCACACTCCCTCCCCCCACGCTTTTCCCCCTAACAGCCTTACCAGCCAGATGCTGCTCTCCAAGCTGCCATGCTGCATATCGGAAATCAGATATGCTCATTAATAATCGGCTGTTGGTATCGGCTCAAAAACTCTTTATCAGTGCACCCTTACTTAGCAAGGGACTCAGCAGCCAGACACAAGCATGGTCACTAGCAGGAACAAAAAAGTCTGATCAAGTGCACTAGTACTGGGAGCTCTTACGCAGATAGGGTCATTCTTTGTACTGAAGACTTTGAGAACAATGTACTCAGCACTGATTCTGGGACAGAGATTCCAAATGCTTCATGTCAGATGCTGAGGATGTTGCCCTAAACACAGCTCTGAGCAGCTATCATATCCGTTTCAGAAGGAGGATTTACTGTATTTATTCAATTCTGAGATGAGGGGTTTTTCCATTTAATGTGAGGGGCTGGGGAAAAGCTCTTGCCAAGTATGAGGGGTAGGGGAGTGGGGGCTGGAAACTCCTGTGGCTTGGGCTCCAGCCCCTACCTCAGGTTAGGACCATAGCTGTAGCCACAGCTGGTGTCTACTGCCCAACCCCACCTCTGCACCCTGCTGTCTCCTGCCTGCAGCCTCTTCCCCCATCTCTCCCGTCCACCCCACACAGCCTCTGTTCTTCTGACTGCCCTTCTTCCCTGCCCCCTTACTTTTGTTCTGTGCTGGCAAGCTCTGTGCATGTTGCAGCCTGAGCATAGTACGGGGCCAAGCTAAGGGTTGTAGATGAGTCTGTTGGCTAGGAACACTGATCCTAGAGCTGCAGACTCTCTGGCAGATGCCACAGGTGGTGGTTAAAGGGGAGGGTCAAACTGTGGATTTCTCAGTTTTGTTTCATGCCTTCCATTTCTGTCACTTTTCTGCCTCCAGGGTGAGATGGTTTTTCTCACAGTAAGATGTACCTTCTTTCACAAGTCGTCATCGCCATGTAGCCCTGTCCTGGCTAGTTTTTCCCAATTTGTGGTGTCAATGCCACACTTCATTGTTGCCTTCAGAGTGTCCTTGAAGCATTTCCTCTGCTTCCCCCCTCCCCCAACCCCACATGCTGTTTGTCCTTGGCTGAGTTGGGAATATAGCAGTTATTTGGGTAAACGTACATCAGGCATGCAATACAGTGCCCTGGCCATCACAACTGATGTTGAATAATCAACACTTCCATGCTGGTGGTGTTAGTGTCAGTGAGGACACCCGCATTTGTGCAACAATCCTCCCTCTTTGTGCCAGTGATTTTCTGGAGGTAGCGCTGGTGAAGGTGTTCCAGGCTTTCCAGGTGGTTCCTGTAAGTCACTCAAACTTCAGTCGTAGAGAAGAGTTGGGGTTACTACAGCCTTATATAATAGGAGCTTTGTTCAAGTCCTGATGTCACAGTCGTTGAACACACCATGATACAGTCTTCCAAAGGCAGAGCTGGTACATTGGATCCTATACTGGATCTTCTCGTTGATGTTGGCCTTCCTTGAGAGATGGCTGCCAAGGTATGCAAAGTATTCAGCATTCTTCAGCTTCTGTGCATTCATCCATTCTTTGCCATGTGAGTTAATTGACCTGGAGCAGGCTGATGAAACATCTGTGTTTTTCCAATGTTAAGGGTCAGTCCCAGGCACATATATCGATGTTATATCACAAGAGTTCTCTCAGGTGACAATAGCTGTTCTGCATTCAGGTCTGCCATTGTTCAGGTCATCTAAGTGTTCGTATATTCCTGGATACAAAAAGTATTTTTTGTGTTTTAACTGCAGTTAGTCATCCCCTGGCAGTGGCTATCCAATTGGGTACGGTAAAGTGGGACAGCCTGTGTTTGGGGCACCTTTTCTAGCCCCCTTCCTGTGTGGGGTGAACAGAGGGGATCCCGAAAAGGACTGCTTGCTTGCGATCACACCTGCTGAATCACCCTCCTGTCCCACATCAAGGGTGAAGCGACCAGTAGGGCTGTGCGAAGCTTTGGTTTCTGATTTGATTTGGCCTGATTTGGTGGCCGAATCTCTGAATCCAAATCGAATCAGAATCAGAGGGGACTCTTTAATCTCTCCGAATCGAATTGGAACCCTCCAAATTGATTTGGAAAGATTCGGCAATTCGGACATAGACACAGCTTTAAATGTTTTTTCTACATACCTCTAGGTAGCAGGCGGCTTGTGAATGCTGCGATGCTGGGGCACATGGAATGTCCCACAGAAGCGCAGGGGGCTCCCTAGCACGCTTGGCAGCAGACCCAGAAGTGGACCAGAAGCACTTGCAGTCCACCTCTGGATCCACCAGAAAGCGCGCAGGGAGCCCACCCGAGCCCCCCGACTCAGAAACTGGTGCCTCCTGGGTCTGGAGGTGGCACCTGGGGTCCCCCTGTGGCTGATCACCGAGCCGGGGGGGGGAGTTCAGCACACTCCCTGGCGGACCCGGAAGCGGACCAGAACTACTTCTGGTCTACTTTCAGGTTTGCCACCAAGCACATGGTGGGCCCCCCTGCACTCCTGTGGGATCTCCATGCGCCCCAGCATCACAGCGTTCACAAGCTGTACTGGGACCTAAAGGTATGTAGAAAAAGCATTTAAAGCTGCGTCTATGTCCGCATCAGCATCAAATCTTCGGATTCGGCTGAATCAACAAATCGAATCCCTGTCCCTGACTCAGACCGAATCCAAATCGAATAGGGCCTGCTTCACCCAGCCACCTGTATGTGCATCTATGACTAGGGACTCCCAGCGATCATTTTCTGTCCCCGTCATCACTCATCCATTGCTGCAGGACTTTGTAAAAGTTATGGGTATTGGTATTGAAGTAGATGCTGGACCAGTGGGAGAAGCCTGTGCGTGACTTGCTTTACATGGAAAGTCTGTTGCCCATCGACAACTGCATGAATCTGTGGAGGAGAAACCTGTGTCCATTGGCAAGGAGATCCAAGATGACCAGGATTACTTTTCCACTGCAGCCTTTATCTGCCTTAGCAACTGTTGAGAAATAGCCTTCTGGATCTGCCTGCTCCACGGTTGAGGTCTTCATGTTGCGCTGGATTGCTCTTAGTCTAAACCTCACCTTTGTCTTTTTTGCCATGGGTGACCCTACCAGGAATACAAGACTCCTTCTGGTGTTGATCTTAGGGCTGTCAGTGCACTCAAGCCTCTCCACCCCATCAAGGTAGCAGTCCGTGGAGAGGCAGCCAGGAACATATGTATTCCTAAAGTGTGGTTTCTGAGACTTCTTTATTAAGAATAGCTTATTTTACTCTCTCCCTTTTTAAATAAATTAATCCCCAAATTATTTTTTAATTAAAGAAAAGTAATCATATGTATAAATCATACTGAGGCCTGGCTGTCACTGTGTACAACACAGTGTGAACTACAAAGCAAACTGGAGAGAGATGACAAATGCCATAGTCCTGGTGTAGGCAACATTTTCCAGCTGCAGGCCTGCATGACCCACTCAGTCAGAAGTGGATAGGCAGATACTAGGGCCTGGCTATTGCTGCTGCTTGTCCCTGTGATGGCATGTGGAGAGTGTCCACAGCTGAAGCCTTCTGCCACCAAATATTGCCAACACCCCATGACCATTGGCCAGTTCCAGTGATTCTGCCGGCCAGATACAGCCCATGGGCCAGAGGTTACGAACCCCTGCCAGAATCCATTGAGCTGATATTTTTATGGATGCTCCAGGTCTATTTGCATGATTCTTTGTGGAATATGTAAAAATGTTTGTTTCTAGAATTCATGTAGTTCACCAAAGCCTTCCACAAAATAGGGAAGTATAACTGCAAATAGGTAAATTCTCCACAGATTTCTAGGGTTTCTGGTTATTGCCTTTATGCCACTTGTTCCCTCATGTTAATAGGGGGAGCTATAGACCATATTGTATAGTCCTAACAGATATGGTTTTTCCGAAGATCCTGAGGCTGTGTGCGTGTAGTACGTGGTCACCCTCCTC